TGTAGTTAAGGGTTTGCCTGGTCAGGGTTTGTTTAATTGACCGGACCCTTATCTTTTGTTTCTTAGTTGTTTCGATAACTACTCTTTTGGTTACTTACCTCACTTTTACTTGGACAATGTTTTGTTAAACATAACTTATTAAGTATAGTTTTAGTATGTTAATTTAATGTAAAAAGTCTTTTATTCTAAGTTATACACTCTTGACACTGAGTGATAGCGATGTAGGTTTTTTTCTTTTTTATAAGTCTGTTTTCTGATAATGGTTCAACCATTTGTTTGTATCTTTGTCAACTAGGTAGGGGTTCTGCTCTGCAGAACCTCTTACAGTTGACAGAACCGGCCAAGAGGAAAGATTCCTGGCGCAAGGATTGCTCGATCGAAAGTGGATAATCACTTGCTTCATAAATCCAAAGACACAGCCGGGTGACTCGGAAGTATGCATACACAGGAATCTTTCTCAGGGAACCGGCCAAGAGGAAAGATTCCTGGCGCAAGGATCGCTCGATCAAAAGTGGATAGGAGGTAGGGAATGGGATGAATTGGGAGGAACAAACTTGCCTGGCCAAATCGGTTCAATCGTTCGATCGATTGCTTTATCAAGGACCTATCGTGCGTGGAATCGAAAAGTATATGGGGCCAGTTGTTTGTGGAACCAGCAATTGGTTGAAAGGTTGAAGCTTGAGATCGATCTTGGGATTGAGATGTTCAGGGGGAAAGCTGGTGGGTTGGGTGATTGGAAGTTTGGCCTGCCAAAAGCCCAAGTGCAACTGACCGAGGGCGCGGGGCCTCTACGGGCTGGGGACCGAGAGATCCTGGCGCATGGGGCCATGTAGGTTTCGTTTGGTGATGAGGAAGGAGTACCGGTACATCTGGCACAGTTTGTACCGGTACCTCATCATCCAATCCTTTGGGGCATGCGGGGCACGCCCTGAAGGCGCGCTTGCTGTTTGCTTGCGACTGGCATGCCCTCCCTCTTGTCCTTGAAGGACAAGAAAGCATCGATGACATTAGGATGGCATTCATGGGGCGTAGTATTACATGAGAGTTGCCAATTGAATACATGTGAGTTGTGAGCCTCCTCCTAAGCCCAACAACGTACTTTTTACTTGTTCTCCATCTGATTCTTCGCCAAGTGTTGGTGAGTCAATCAACTGGTCTGCAGTTGGGGTGCTGTCCTCTTCTGGGGGCGCAACTTTGGTGGGAGCTCCCATGCGAACCACAACATATCTTTGATTGTTGATGTCGTCCAGCCACATGGCAACTTCGTCGTTGGTAAGGGCGGCGGGGCCTTTGGCAAGCATGGCGTCGGAAACGAGGGCATCGGGGGTTTGTTGGAAAGATAAAAAGACCTTGCCTCGAAACTCCTTTTTAGCAAAGGAGGCACGGACATCAGGCGTCTTAGGATGGGCATCACCACGCCCTATGTAACCGCCTCGCAGATGCGGAGCTGCTTGAAATAGACAAAGTTAAAAGTCATCTTTGAGATTTGGGGGATGCGAGCGGCAACTCACATATTAAATTGTTCAAGGCTTGGGCAAGGTCAGCGCGCTGTTTTGCTTGTCGAGCAGCCGCTTCTGTCAGCATCCTTGGTTGCTTTGGTCCTGCGCGAAGATGCTCTGGAGCTTTGGTTGCTTCGAATGCAAAGCACTCAAGTAGGTGGTTCTTCAGCTGAAGTTTGCCCCACCTTTGGCTTGAGGTGTGCTCTTCTTGGAATAGAGCGCGCCGGTTAGGTGAAGATGGGTTCCAGCATGCCAAGAGGAGGTGAAAGTGGAGGTTAAAATTGTTTTTGAGAACGTGGAGCTGGAATTTCAGGGGGATAAGGTCAACTCTCAAAGGGGTGAGTATATTGAATTGAAGGACTTACTTGTCGAACCACTTTTCCTATTTCATGCATGAGGAGGTTTTCTAATGATTGAGTTCGTTTTTTGCCACTGTGGCGCCATAAACGTCCGTCATGCATGTCATGTGATACCTTGTTCAAGTTGACCAGCCGCTGGAATATTGGTACATATTTTTCAAGCTCTTCCTTGGTGATTTTGGCGACTCCTGGTTGGCCAACATCAGGCTGAGGCTGGGGGGGTTGGGAAGTGGAAGTGGTGTCAAGTTGGGATGGGGTTTGGGTGAGTGCATAAGCCTCGTGGGTGGCAACACACAGGGGTTCGAATAGGCGAGGTGTGAAGATTGCTTGTTCATCTTCTTCATACGCACTCCAAGTGTGGCCAACTATTTGGTTCCTTTCTGTGAAGCCTTCAGCAACACCTTTGGGCGGCACTACAGAATGTTAGGCATCAGCAGTGACGCTTCTTACATGTGATTTGGATGGGCTTACTGGCTGTGGTGGTTGCAACAACACCATATGTTTGGTAGTTGGTGTACATGTTGGGCTCGCGGGCAAGAGGTCCCTCGAGCCTGGGTGATACACTGCAAAGTGAGTTGTGATGTGGATTTGTGCGGCGATGGCATGATGGGTTAAATGAACTTACAGTGCTTCATCAAGTACTTTGCGGCTGCATTTCAGGACAATGCACAACATTGTCTTATCCAGGTCATACTGAGATTGTAGAGCTTGCGCTTTGAAGAGACCATTGGTTGAAGGGCGATTGTTTTTGGGGAGGTCGAGAGATGCTAAGTTCTGTTCGGCGACGGACCGTCCCCACTGAAGCCCCAACTGGCGGTAGTTGATGAGAGTGGGAGTCTGTGAGTCAGAAGGGGTGTCAAGTTCGAGTTCCTCAGGGGTGAGAGTGGCCTCAGCTTGTCGAGGCCTCTTGGTGGGACGGTTCGATGTTGATGGGACTTTCCCTCCTTGCCCTCGCCCTGCTCGACCTCGTCTTGCTGTGGTTGCAGTGCGGTTACGTTTGGTAGTGGGATTGATGGCTTTGTAAGTGGAGTCTGTGTCAGAGTCAGATTCGGAGTGAGGAGTGGTGACTGGGAGTCTTTGTAGTCCAGATCGAGTGGGCATGGTGCGCTGGGGTAAAGTGAGCAGAGAGGGGTGAGGATGGGTTGATGGGCGCTTCTGGTGGATGTTTTTGAATCCTGGGTTATGATTTATGTTTTTGACCCATCTTAAGAGGTAATGATGTGTAATCCTTGTGATTGTGATAAAGGTAATTGGGTAGTTATCATTTTGATTAGGTTGTGATCTATGCGTTAAGGCAGTAATGGGGCTTAGTTGGTTCAAAGTTGAGGGAGGCACAGGGTAGCTGTGGTCGTGAAAAAATGGAACAGGGAGTGATAAGTGTGACTGAGGTAGTCATGAAAATACTGAAGTAGGGAGATATGTTTTGAGGGAGTAAGGGGAGTGACTGAAGTCTGCATACTTTTGAAAGGTAGTGAGATATGAGATTTGAGGAGTTATGAATTGGCTGGGGTAGTGAGAAGATGGAATAGGTAGTGATAAGTGTGACTGAGGTAGTCATAAACATACTGGAGTAGGGAGATGTGTATTGAGAGAGTAAGGGGTGACTCGAGTCTGCATAGTTTTAAAGGGTAGTGAGATATGAGATTTGAGGAGTCATTAATTGGCTGAGGTAGTGAGAATTGTTGCTATGGTAGTCATGGCTGTGCAGTGATGCGTAGGGGGGCAAGGCCCCCCCCTTGTAGATATGGGGACTTAGAGAGATTTCTAGGTGACCCTAGCTCCAGCTACAGGCTACAGGATTCTACCTGCTTGCCTACGGACCCCATTGGATGATACACATGTCTGTATCATCCAATACATTTGGTGCAATTGAGTACACACAGGTGGTTCCAACAGCCCCCCCTGCTCACTACTTTTTGATTTGAGATAAACCTAACTGATCATAACTACTTGATAAAATGTTAGCTCCTACAGCCTTCGTCAGCACATCAGCAGGCATTTCCTTTGTGGAAACATGTGAAACCGTAATTTTTCCTTCACGCGTCAATTCTCTTATAAAGTGATGTCTTATATCTATATGTTTTGATTTATTATTGACCAAAGCTTCATTGCACAAAAACACCGCCCCTTGATTATCATTTGATAGTGGAAGTTTGATGGGAACACTGATACTTGACTGCTGATGTAAATGTTTGAGTAATCGGCATAACCATAATCCATGCTTTGCACAATCTCCTATAGCTAAATATTCTGCCTCAGTAGTTGAAAGAGTTACACAATGCTGTCGACGACTTTTCCATGATACCAAAGATCCCTTCACAAAATACACAAAACCCGTAGTTGACCTCCTCGTGTCAATGTCCCCAGCGTAATCCGCATCAGCATATCCCTCAACTGGTAAGTTCTTAGCCTTGCTCGTCCCAAACATTAGGTCGAAAGATGACGTTCGCCGCACGTAGCGTAGTAGATGTTTGACTGCTGCCCAATGCGTTTGGTTGTGGCGGGAATTGAAACATGAAAGATAACTGACCGCATAGGCTATGTCCGGTCTGGTCTGCACTGAAAGAAAATTGAGCATTCCGACGGCACACCGGTACTCCTCTATTTCCTCTGATTCCTCAAGAGACGGAGTTGTTAGTCTGATGTTTTGGGGCAATGGTGTCTTGACTCCATTGCATTGAGACATACCAAAGCGTTCGAGCATCGCGTCACAGTAATGAGACTGATCTAGAGTTATGGTTTGTTGAGACCGGTCACGTTTGATGTGTATGCCGAGGTGGAGAGACGGGTTTTCGTTCCAACGGAATTTGTAGTGTTGGCTGAGATTGGTTCAAAACTGCTTTAAGAAAGACTTGCTGTTTGAAAAAGCCATGCCGTCGTCAACGTGCATAGGTATATGTATGAATAAGTCTCCATCCCTCAGAGTGTACAAGGAGTTGTCAACAGGACAGACTTTGAATCCCATGCTTTTGAGTTTGGTGTCAAAGTTGTCATTGAACTCTCGATGCGCTTGACAAGTACCGTAAAGAGATCTGTCGAGTTCTACTACATGTTTAGGCTTTGATGTATCTCTGAATCCCGTTACTTGACGAACATAAACACGATGCTTAATCTTCCCGTTCAGAAAAGCCGTCTCGATATCAAACTGCTCCATTTCTAGATTGTCCGTAGCAGCAAGAGCGTATAGGGTTCGTAAGGTGTCGGTCAGGCCAACTGAAGCATATGTGGAGTCGAAATCAACACCCTTGATTTGATGATTGCCGCCAGCTACCCAACGAGCCTTGTACTTAGTGATTCGTGAGAATTCATCCCTCTTTCGTTTGAGTCGCCACATGCCGGGTAAGATGTTAGCATCTGGAGGAGGTTCCACAAGGCGACCAACTTCATGAATTTGTAAGGACATAAACTCCTCTGCCATTGCTGCTAACCATTCTTCTTGATTTGGACCTTTCATTGCTTGAGAGTATGATGGTTCATCATTTTCTGGACCATCGTCAGTCTGGCTAATCGAAGCTTGATTGAGTTCCGCAACGGTGTGATAGCCTATCAGATTCCCAAGTCGTTCAACTGGGGCTGCTCCTTGCTCTGATCGTCGTGGTACAGGTGGTGGTATTGCAGGAGGAGTAGGGATTTGCAGAAAGTCATGAATTGCGTCAGTGGTCGATTGTGATGAGGTAGGAATATCCCAGACTTCATCCCATGAATCATCATTTAGAATCGTCAGTTCTTCCGTTGTCAACTTGTCAAGATGCCGAAGGGGAAAAGAACCTTCATCAAATATCACGTCATTGGAAATCATGATGCGATTGGATTTCGGATCCCAGAGCCGATACGCGTTTGAATTCTTCTCGTACCCTACCATTATCGTCTTTATTGAACGTGGAATCAGTTTGTTTTGATGACCAGGTGGAATGGAGTACGCTAAGCAACCAATGACCCTTAGTCGGTTGTACGGGAGGTTAGGCACTTTCATGTTGAGCGCAAGCGTCTGCCACGCATATTTGGGACAGTTGAACTTTACAGATTTGGAGGGACACAGGTTGAGAACAAATGATGTCGCCATCATTACCTCACCCCAAAGACGAACAGGCAGATTGCCGTGTATAAGCTGAGCTCGTAGGCGTGAAGCAGCAGTCCTGTTGAAACGCTCCACTACAGAGTTTTGTTCAGGACTCTCAGGTGGGCCCATTTCATGCACTATGCCATTTTCACGAAGATATTGATTGAATTCATTACTTGTAAATTCTCCACCTCGGTTGGTTTTGAACACAGAAATTTTATTATTAGGAGCATGATTTGAAAGCATTGAATGAAATTGTTTAAAGGCCTCAAACGCCTGAGATTTTGTTTTAAGAAGTATAACCCAATTTTTGCGAGTAGCATCATCTATAAGTACCATAGTGTAAAGATAACCCCCAGTACTTGCAGCAGGAAATGGACCTGCGAGATCACAATGCACCCGATAACCAGGGATTTCAGACCTCGGCAAAGCGCCAGTATGGCTGCTCCTCGCCTGTTTCCCCAAGGTGCAGGCTTCGCAAGTCTTCGATGCATCCGGATTAAGTCGTAGGACATCCTCCATGACACTTGAGGTACTCCTGTGATTTAGATGACCAAACCGTTGATGCCATAAGTCAGTATTGTTAGGATTTGATGACTTGACGAAAGACGCACGTGGTTCGGAGTAATGATAGAACTTCCAGAATCCACCGGGACCGGCATCCTTGTAAGCTGGAAGGATGTGCTTCGAGTTCGAGAAATACATGTTGAGATCATTGGTGTTCGTGCCATAGTGTGGATCAACCATCTTGAACCCAGATTCGTATAGCTCAGTGACCAAAATGAGGTTTGCAGGAAGAGACGGTGAGTAAAGAACGTTGGGTATTTCAACAAGAGAAGGCGATCCATCCGGTCCAAAAGCGTGAAGCTTTGCCGTACCCATCTTGGTGGCAACAATGCGGGACGAGTTATCGGCATTTGCCACATTAATCCATACTGGAGCAACATCACGTAGATCATCAAGCATCAGCGCGTCTCCAAACATGTGCCTGTTGCAAGCAGTGTCGGCTAGCGTGGCTTTGTGAGTGTCAGATGGAGATGGATAGCTTGGTGAAGCAACAAATGAGACCTCGTCGATTACCGGTGTCGCAATTGTATTGTAGGATGTCGCAAACTGGCATGCCGCTTCACTGGTATGATTCGGAACAGGGGCTGCAGTACTCGGTGTCGGAGTAGTCGCCTGAGTCGGTTGAGATGAAGCTTCGGTATTAAACCCGACAACTCCAACAGCTGCGAGCTGATTATACCTTCGTATCTTCTCTGAATCAGTAAGCCCTTGGTTGGATGATGGCTGACTACTATTCATCGGTCGAGTTGGACCACGGTTTCGCCTCTGCTTCATGCATACACCGTTAGTGTGCGTGAACTGCCAGTGCTCTTGTAGAACACAAGGTGCATTGGGGGATTTATCGGTACGAGGGATTGTCAGACAATGAGCTGGAGCAGGCGGATGCTTGATCGAAGCAGCCATGGCTATCGGGTTCTCATCAACTGTGCTGAGAGCAGACTTCGTTCGTAGACGGGATACGACTTTCGATGTTGTGAGATTCTTCATATCTCCAAACATTTGATCTCAAATCGTTGCAAATTGATCGCTTGGAAAACTTAGAAGAAGGAAAACAGATAAAAGCTTGTTGCTAATCTTCAGATCATCATCACTTGCAGTGGCCTCTGCGATTTGTGTATGTAGATCACTGATCCCATCAAGGAAGGTGGAAATCGTTTTGGAACCGTTAAAGCGTACGGTAGCAACTTTGGCTATGAGTGCAGCCACTTCCAAGCCGTCGTCTTGAGAAGCTTGGGCATGTAAAAGCTCATATGCTTTCTTGGGGTCTTCGATTCCCCGAATAGCAGGTAAGCGAGTAGGCTCAACCGTGCATCTAATGACTTCTAGAACAGACGCGCGTTCAGCTTCGAGCTGCTCGACCTTATCAAAATCTTTCGCATCGGTCTCAGATAGGGAGGTGTCGCGTTCTACGTGTTTCCAAAGTTTGCGACTCTTCAGGTACGTTTTGATTCCAAGTACCCAATCAACCTTGTTG